GAATTACCATCAATTCCGGAGCGTTAAGTAAAACTTCACTGTGCTCCACAGCTGCATCACCTGTGGCTTGTTTACCACGCTCAGATGCCGTTTCTAGATCGAAGGAGCTTGTGTGCTGGAGAGCTGGAAAGCATATGGAACAACCCATTTCCGTGCCATCCAATTAGAGCTTAAAATGTAGGGCTTCAGTCAGCCAGTTTTTCCTTCCCTTGCCTAGCCCTGAAGGCCCAGAGCAAGAGTCACTTCCTCCCTACACTACCAGACTGTCAGTTTCACCTTGGTCACGCTACAGCCTCAGGCTCCTTCCGTTCTGTGTGCGAACTGTGTGCTCTTCTCTCTCTTCCTAAAAGCAATTGTGGACTTGAAGATCCTCAGCCTGGTATGGGACAGGTCTTAATGACATCCCCTTTCTCCCTCTCTTCTCCCCGCTCTGGTGGGGGAGGTGTTTGCACACATATGCATGGATGGAGGCCAGAGAGCAATGGCAGGTGTCTGTTTCAATCACTCTCCGCCATTTTTAGAGACAAGCTCTCTCACCAACCCCGCCCTCGAGGAGATCAGCCTGCTTCTGCCTTCGGCACCTAGATGGCAGGCAGCCAACTTTTCTGTGGGCGCTGGGGATCTGAGCTCAGGTCACCATGAATGTACAGCAGATACTTTACTGACGGAGTTAATCTTCCAGTCCCAGTTTACTTTTTAATTTTTTTAAAAAGAAAATGTCTCTGCTGCTGCATCTAATAGGTCGCTGGGCAGTAAGACCAGAAGAGGACTGAGACACAGTTCAGTCGGTAAAGTGCTCGTTGTGCCTGAATTCAACCTCAGACTCACATTTAAAAAACTAGGCACAGTGACACACACAATTCACAGTTGCACTGCTGGGGATGGGGATGCGGATCTTGGGGAATTGCCACCAAACCAGCATAGACTACTCAGGTTCCAGGCCAGTAGAGACTATGTCTCCAAAAACAAGAAAACCCCTGAGAAGTCATACCCGAAGGTATGCACATGCACCCTTTGATGGAGGAAGGTCATTGGTTAAGTAATAAAGAAACTGCTTGGCCTCATAGGTTAAAACATAGGTGGGAGGAGTAAACAGAACAGAACGCTGGGAAGAAGAGGAAGTGAGCTCAGACTCGACAGCTCTCCTCTTGGGGGCAGACACCTGACAGAGACGCCATGCTCCCCTCTCCCGGACAGAGGCGATAGCTCTGCTCTCTGAGGCAGATGCATGAAGCGCCGACCCAGGATGGACGTAGGCTAGAATCTCCCTGGTAAGCCACCTCGTGGGCTACAGCAGATTATTAGAAATGGGCTAGTCCAGGTGCAAGAGTTAGCCCAGAAGAGGCTAGATAGAAATGGGCCAAGCAGTGTTTAAAAGAATACAGTGTCCGTGTAATTATTTCGGGGTATAAGCTAGCCAGGCGGCCGGGGTGCTGGGGACACAGCCCCGCCGCGTGATACTTTTCCTGGGAAGACAACACACAGTCTACTCACCCCAGATAGGGAACCTACAGCAGACCAAAGTATGGATACCACCAAAGTCCAACTTTGGGAGCCATCGAGGTTTTTGAGGTTACTTACAGGAGTAGAAATGACTCAAAGAAAGCTGCATCATCAGCAAAGTCTACCCCATCATGGGTGACAGCTCACAAAAGCTGCTGAAAATCTGGAGCACACAAGTTGGAGAGTGTCCTACCAGGAGCATCAGCAGGCCCAAGCCTCTTCCAGGCTGCTCTACTGGTCTTTGATTCATCTAGGCAATTGGGCTGGTCTCTGCTACTTTCAAGAAACTTGGCTTGTCGGAGACTCAGCAGTGTTTACTCTTGGGGAGTGGGCAGGAAATTGATCTGGTCAGTTTCAGGGAGTACCTGAATCATTTTGAGTTGCTTGCTTTTTGTCTTAAGGAACTTCCCTGCAGGATAGAATGTTTCCATCTCAGAGGAAACTTTTACGCAACAACCTTGCACACACACACACACACACACACACACACACACACACACACACACGTAGAAGGAAAAAAATCAGATATATAGTTATGTAAGTTCAGACCAGAGGTAATGGTTGCCAGTCTGGGGTAGGAACTGTGGGAGAGGCAGGTGCCTTTAAGGTTGTCTTGGAGATGGAGCGGATTGAAATTGCTGATGGATTAGATCTGCAGCTGAAGGAATGGAAAGGCACAGAAATAGCTCTTAGGTTTCTGGCTTGTGCAATAGGGACAGGTGTAAAAATGGGGAAAGGGTGTAAAAAGGGAATAGAAGTTTAGTTTTGAAAACATTAAAGTTATATCCAGAAGTTATGTTATATCCAACTGTTTCATTCATATTACCCTGGCTACTTTAGCCACTCATAACTTCTTAATATTTTTTATTTTTTGACACAGGGTTTCTCTGTGTAACAGTCCTGGCTGTCCTGGAACTCACTCTCTAGACCAGACTGGGCTCGAACTCAGAGAGATCTGCCTGCTTCTACCTCCCAAGTGCTGAGATTAAAGGCATGCACCACCACCGCCTGGCTCATCTTTATTTTTTATATGGAAGTGTGTGTGTGTGTGTGTGTGTGTGTGTGTGTGTGTGTGTGTGGTGTCTGAGACAGGGTCTTGACACATAAACCAGTAGACCAGGCCAGCCTTGCCCTCACAGAGATCTGCCTGCTTCTGCCCCTGGTGCTGGGATTAAAGTCGTGTGCCACCACAGCCAGGTGACACATTGCTTTATGAGATTTAACACTTTTTAGCATTTCTTCCGTATACTCCAAAGTCCATCCTGCCCCACCTTTTCATTTCTTCTTCCTTATGGCCCTTTTTCTTTTTGGTGCTGCACAGATTAAGCACACACTCTTCCACGGAATGAAGGCCCTGATTTCTTCTCCCCAGATCTTCCACTTTTCCAGGTTTCATCCCCCTCCCTTTCCCCCATGATCCAAGTAGCCAGAAAGTCCTGTTGAGCTCCCTCCCTATGCACTGCAGCTCCCTTTCTCTTCCCACTGCTGCCTCCCTAGCTTAAATCGATGACTACTCCTTATCTGGACGTGCCAGTCTTTCAAATAAACAATTTTCATACACACTGCTGTTGTAGAATTTTTTCTGAAGATTCTAAGGACTCGGGGTCTAGCACACTTTCCTGGCAGACACAGAGCTCTTTCATCCTCAGCATTACAAAAATGCCCCCCACCTTTCCAAGAGAATGGAGTGTGTTTGTTACTCTAATACTTGAAGCCTTTTCTGATCTGGTCTGTTCTGCTAAAATAGAGTTCTGCTTTATCCACTGAATCATCTTGCCTGTCACACTTTATTTGTATTTTAAAAAAAATTTGTTTTATGTGCATTGGTGTTTTGCCTGCATGCATGTCTGTGTGAGGGTGTTGCATCTCCTGGAACTGAATGTACAGACAGCTGTGAACTGCTGGGAGGGTGGGTGCTGGGAATTGAACCAGGGTCCCCTGGAAAGGCAGCCAGCGCTCTTAACTGCTGAGACATCTCTCCAGCCCCAGTTCTTTGTATTTTTATGTAAGCTGTTCCTTCCAGTCAGCATGGCGTCCCATCCTCACCAAGCACAATATTGTACATTCACTGAGATTGTCTCAAATGCTACTAAGAACGCTGCTTAACCATTTATTGAATACTCATTATTTAAGTACTTAATGCTTTTTTTTTTTTATTTTTCGAGACATGGTTTCTCCGTAGCTTTTGGTTCCTGTCCTGGAACTAGCTCTTGTAGACCAGGCTGGCCTTGAACTCACAGAGATCCGCCTGCCTCTGCTGGGATTAAAGGCGTGTACCACCACCGCCCGGCTCTTAAGGCTTATTTTGTTAGGTAAATTAAGCACCTTACATTCATTATCTGGACCTGTATTGACATGGTTTCTTTTATAGTTCCCTTATTTTCTGTATAATGATGCCGATTCCTTGAGAGTACATTGCATCTTTGAGTTCACAGAGTTGATGAAATTACTTGAGTAGCTGAGTGATGACCGCACTTTGAACTAGTTCATATGGAAGAATACAAAGGAAGCATGACTGGATCCATTCTAACTGGAGAACACATGTATACGCCCCAAGATTGCAAGAATATTATGTATCAAGGAGATAATAAATGGACTATTGACCACATGTGTAGCACAAAGTCAACCTGGAAGAATCAAGTTCATGTAGTAAAAGGAGTATTTCGATTTTCATTGTCAGGTAGATCTGATTTTGGGTTGTTTTCCTACTTCAGTGTGTGGCTAAGAATGACGTTTTCTCTTCAGAATACGCTGTAAAGTAAGCATATTACAGCTTCCTTCACAGAACTGTTGAAAGGATTCACTAAGATAATAACCAAAGTGCCTATCACAAAATGAAGTTACACATGTGGGCTTGTTTCAGAGGCCTCAGTAGGTCAGTTCAGGATGGTGTGAGTGTTGGGGGTCTGGGAACTGACCAGCTAGGCTCAGATCATGGAGGCATCCAGAAACCCAAAACTACACTACCTGAAGGCACACTAACACCCTGCAAGCCAAACTGAAAACATTCACCCTAAGCACTGTTTAGCTGCAGAAGCGAATGAAAGGAAATGTGGGAGGGAGCTGCGTTTTCCAAATTTTGGGGCGACATCCCGCACTTTCCATCACGCGAAAGATCCAGGAAGATGCTGTTATTTTTCTTTGGTTAAATTCTACCTTACAATTTTCACAATCTCAGTCAGTTTCAGGAAGGGGATAGCTGATTTGTCAGAGTAGATTACTGGTGAAATTGTTAGCTCTTAACGGATCGTGAGGAAAAGTAGAAATAAAGTTGCAGCACGAAATTTGCTGTGTAAAATTTCCAAACCAGTCAGTGAGTTAATCCCACAGCCCCTCAAAGCCTGTTCTTAGTACAGTCGGCTGATGTAGCTGGATGGTGGTGGGTCTTATGTGGCTATTAAAAATGTATTTAAACCTCTAAACATTTAAATGGCTGTATTTACAGACTGAAAACTTAAAAGAGTTGAGGCTCCTTTTTAGCGCCAAAACTTGAAATCGCAGCTTTTAGTGTTCAGCTGTAACTCTTCCGTTATCTTACTCTCTTAAAACTACATCTCCCAGCATGCTCTGAAGCTAATCTGACCTCATTTCAAATGGCCCCGTAGGGCAACAAGGCTGGTTAGTTTTGACCCTGCTGCTTGTGCCTTGAAAAAAAATCGATGCCAATTGGCAGCCATTTGGGCTTTTATAAGCTCTTTTTTTGAACTGTAGTCATTAAATGAAGGGATTTGGTATGGGAGGGCCCATTCATTCCCTCAGCTGGGCGAGGGACCAGGCAAACTGTCTCCGGCAATCTAAATAAGAGGGAATGTTGAACAGGGAACACCGCTGGGGCCGAACAGAGGCGCAGGAACCGGAGCCCAGGCTGTGTCCGCAAACTGTCGGGTCCGGACTTTGGCTCAGGGACGGTCGGAAGTGGGAGATGGAGATGCCAGAGGAACCGGCCGATAGTGGGCATTCGCTGCCCCCGGTTTATATTTATAGTCCCGAGTATGTCAGCATTTGCGACTCTCTCGTCAAGATCCCCAAACGGGTAAGAGGTCTGGATGAAAGACCACCGTTTGGGGGGATGGGAGTGGGAGGGTGTAAAAGGGAGTATGTTAGGAAACCAGGAAAACTAGACTTGAGTGATACCTTAAACAAAAATTTAACTAGCCGTTTCAGGTACACCAAGCTGGGGCAGAAGGAAGTGGTTTGTTACCTTTGGGGAGCACGACGGGACGTCCGAGCCGAGGGTGAGGGCGGGAGATCTGAAGGCGGGGGAGAGAAAGAAACGGTGAAGTGGTGAGTGGAGGTTCTAATAGGCTGGGTTCATTGATGTCCTTGACCACAAGCTGTTGGAGGACAGTATGCCATCACTTGTGTTCAGTATACTGGGTAGCCTGGCGATTTTAATGCTTTGTATTGTTTTGTCTTAAGTTTTTCCCAACTGACAAAGTGACAAGAGAGAAGAGATAAAGTAGTTAGTTCTTCATGCAGGATGTTGTTAATGGGATTTCAGTAAATTGAGCCTTGAAGAGACTGTTTTGTCTTTCTTTTTTCATGCTGATATTTCAGGCCAGTATGGTCCACTCTCTGATCGAAGCATATGCCCTGCACAAACAAATGAGGTAAGTATGTTGACCTTTCTCAACATTGTCACCCATGAAGCCATAATAAATAAAGTGCTGCTGGATAAGCACTTGCCAGATGCTAAGATCTTTTTGATGCGGGTGGGGAGGGGTTAAGCAGGGAAGTGTTCAGTGTGTTTTATATTTGCTTTGGGTTTGGTTTTATTTGTTTTCTAAAGCTGGATTTGAGGATGTGGGCTCAACTTGAGACTTTTAGATATACTACTCCACTATCATCGCCAAACTTTACACCACCCAATCTGTTGAAAACAAGCCAGAACTTAAAAGCTAGCAACATGCATCTCAAAAACATACCAAAACCAACTTTCCATTGATTTCCTATTCTGTGTATAATATCATAAATGCAACTCTTACGGACGTGGCACATGCAAGTCAGGTTTTCTCATGACTGGGTGAGTGACTGTATCATCTAATGCTTCATTTCCCTCCCAGAAAGTAATGTAATATGTTTTTAGATTTTATCCTTAGTATTATTAGTCATTTTAATAATAATAATAAGCCGGGCGGTGGTGGCGCACGCCTTTAATCCCAGCACTCGGGAGGCAGAGGCAGGCGGATCTCTGTGAGTTTGAGACCAGCCTGGTCTACAAGAGCTAGTTCCAGGACAGGCTCCAAAGCCACAGAGAAACCCTGTCTCGAAAATCAAAAAAAAAAAATAATAATAATATGTACGTTCATTGTGTGGTTTTTCAAGACAGGGTTTCTCTATGTAACGGTCCTAGCTCTCCTGGAAGTCAATTTGTAGACCAGGCTGGCCTCGAACTCACAGAGATCCACCTGCCTCTCCCTCCCAAGGGCTGGAGCTAAAGGCACGCGCCACCACCTCCCGACAGTGTGTACATTCTTTAGGAATGTTTTGCTGTTGCTTTGAGACAAGGTCTCTGGTGTAGCTCTGTCTGGCTAGGGACTGTTACATTCACTAGGCTGGCCTTGAACTTATTAAGATCCACAGGCCTCCGTCAAAAGGTGTGTGTCACCACTTCTGGCTAGGAATGTTTTTCTACCATTGCTTAACTCCTGTGTTTGTCAAGATAATGATTTGCCTTTCCTTAAAGGATTTTAACACTTTTCTAAGCCAGGTGGTGCTGGAGGGGCGTCACAAATTCTAAGTCAGGCTTTGTGACTTAGCCAGAATCTGTCTCAAAAATTTTAAAGAGGTTTGGGATATTGTTCAGTGTATAGAACACTTGTCTAACATACCTGAGGCCTAGATTCCCCCCCCACACACACACACAATCAACACTTAAAAATATTCTATTGCAAATAAGATGTTAAAGCAAGACTCGTTAGCTTGCTGGTCAGGAGAGGCTGACAGTATTCTTTAGTTTTAGGATTCAGGGAAATAAGTAATAAATGTAAGAGAAAACATTTGGAGAAGCTGGGAAACATAATCCAATATGATTGTGATTGTGAAAAAAATTGAAACTGGCCCTCTTACATATTCTGTCCCGAAACTAGCTCTGTTTGAACTCCCAGAGATCTGCCTGTCTCTGCTTCCTGAGTGCTAGGATTAAAGGCATGTGCCATTACACCAGGCTTCTTGATATTTTTATTTTAAACATTTTTATTAACATTGCATTTATTTATTTTGATGGGGTGTTGAGTGTGTGAGGGAGTGGTCAGCCAAGTGCATATGCAGAGGTCAGAAAACAACTTGGCGGGAGTTGATTCTCTCTTCCACCATGTGGGTCCAGGGATTGAACTCAGGTCATCAGACTTGGTAGCAAGTTCTTGTACCTGCTGAGCCATCTTGCTGGCCCTAAGATTTTTATTTTAATGGACAACTTTTTCGCCTCTCATGGTATAGATGAGTACTTGAAGAAAAATCAAGAATCCTTGATTTTGACTCTAACTTTTAAAGTTGAACGACAGGATTTCAAACACCTTGGTTATACTAGTTACCTAAATATCCTACCTGTATTAGTTCACGATAACCTCATGGCTCTACTCTCATTTGAAGAATATACACGGCTAGAGTGGTGCTCCTTCAATTTAAATGGGCAATCATCATGTTAAGATTGATATGAAGCCAGAAGTAGTGGTGCACACCTTTAATCCTAACACTCTGTGAGTTCGAGGCCAGCCTGGTCTACAGAAGGAGTTCCAGGACAGCTTACACAGAGAAACCCGGTCTTGATAAACCTGTGTGTGTGTTCTTGTTAGAATACAAATTGTGGTTCATTGGGCCTAGATTCAGACTTGAGCTTTGCTTTTCTAAGAAAGAAACTCCATGCTGCTAGTGTGTTCACTACCTACCCATTCATTGGCAAGGGTTAGAGAACTTACTTAACTGCAGCAGAATCCAGAAGTGAAGATGGAGACTCAGCAGGTTCGAGGCCAAAATCCCCATGTAACTTGCTTCCTTTATTCTCTCCTTTCTTCCTTTTCTTGCTCACTGTGGGGAGCAGGGTGAGAGATTCTAGCCGTTTGCTCCTTCTGTCCTTCCTTGGGAGACAGAGAGAAGAGAACAAGTAATAGAAACTTTATGTTTGAGGACACTGGAAGGATGAAGCAGAAAGTAAGAGCACTTGCTATGCAAACACTAGGACCCAAGTTCAAGTCCTCAGAATCTAGAGGAAAAGCTGGATTGTGTCACACATCCATGTAGCCCCGGTGTCTTGGCAGGGATAAACAAGAGTCAGAAAAATTGCTGGGGCTTGCTGATCACCAGTCTAACTCCAAGTTCAGATTCAGTGAGAGAGCCTGTCTCAAGGGAATAGGGTGGGAGTTACAGAGCAGGATTGTGGCCTCCTTTGCTGGCCTCTGTGCATGCACGGGCTTGCAAAAACCCCTGCATTTGTGCCCATACAGCCCCCCATAAATAAACACTTTTTACATTTGACTTCTCATTTTTTTTGAGACACTCTTATAGAGCCCAGTCTGGTGTAGAACTTGTTGTGTAGCCTAGGCTAGCCTCACACTCATGATTCTCCTGCCTCTCAAGTGCTATGATTACAGACATTTGCCACCATATCTAACATATTACCTTTTTCTGCAGCGTTTGGCACCAACCGTAGGGCCTTGCCCATGACAGGCAGATGTTGTATAACTGCTCTGCATCCCCCGTCCAGTTTCCCACCTTTTTACTCTAATATTAATGCTAGTTGTCCATGAAGTTTTGTATATGTTATTTCATCTCCACATAAGTCCACTAAACTGACCCATTTTACAGATGAGAAAGCTGAGGTATAGAACAGTCAACTCACCTGAAGTTAACAGAACTAGTAAGTACGGAGTTAGGAAAGGAATTCAGTTCTCTGGCTTCAAATTCTGCTTGATAACCCAGCTGCCTATTCAAATAGTCACAGAGGGATGCGGGGTGGGGGAGAGGGGACAAGGCTCAGCACCAAAACTAAAGCAAGAGACTACACTGAAAGAATTGCCTGGTCCAAGCAGAAACTGATTCAAACGTGACTAGCTTTCCTGCTTTCTCATGAGATGTAACTTACGGAGTAAAGCTTATATTTCAGCCTTCTAGACATATAGTTTTATGATTACTTATTTTATGTGTATGAGTGCTTGGCGTGTGTGTGTGTGTGTGTGTGTGTGTGTGTGTGTGTGTGTGTGCGCGCGCGCCTGGTACCTATGGAGGTCAGATCTCGAACTGGAGTTCCACGTGGTTGTAAGTCACCATGTGGGAGATGGAAACTGAACCCCAGTCCTCTGCAAAAGCAACAAATTCTTTTAACCCCTGAGCCATCTCTCCAGCTCCAGAGCTCTTTTAATTTTTTTAAAAATGATACGTATTTCTTTAGGGGGATGTGTGTACCAGAGAGCACACATGGAGGTCAGAGGGCAACTTGCCAGGGCAGTTGGTTCTCTCCTCCACAATGTGGGTCCCAGGGATTAAACTCAGGTTGGCAGGCTTAATGGCAGATGCCTTTACCCCCTGAGCCATCCTTCTGGCCCCGGGTTAATGCGTTCTATGTGGCTAAACCAGGGACCTTGACCCAAGATTATCTGTTTGAGTTAAATATGGTTTTTCAGTTATCGTCTCCTACCTAAAAACCCAAAAGAAAAAAATCTGTCTTCTTGTCTCTTATTAGTGGGGTCAGTATCATAGATGGAGGAAGTGAAGGCTGGGCAGTGCAGCAGAGCGACAGTGTGTTTATGACTTCGGCTCACTGGAACCAGAAGCTGGGAGTTGTCTTTTCTGTTCAGATATTGACTGCTATTTCCAGCTCTTTGCATACTCTGAGTCTCATGTACTTCTGTATGTCCACGCTGTTATTATTAGGATAGTGAAGCCCAAAGTGGCCTCCATGGAGGATATGGCCACCTTCCACACTGATGCCTATCTGCAACATCTCCAAAAGGTCAGCCAAGAAGGTGATGAGGACCATCCGGACTCTATAGAATACGGACTAGGTAAGAGTCCCTCGGGCAACAGTGGGACCCCAGCTTGTAGATTATGGTACTTAATTTGTCTCTCTGTGTTTATGTAGAAGGATGTGTGTATGTGCAGTAGTGTGCTTGTGTCTGCTGGTACACACGTGGAACCAAAAGTCAGCACTGGGTGTCTTTTGTTTTGTTTCGTTTGAGACAAGGCTTCTCTGTGTAGCCCTGACTGTCCTGGACCTCCCTCTGTAGACTAGGCTGGGCTTGAACTCACAGAGATCCACCTGCCTCTGCCCCTGAGTGCTGGGATTAAAGGCATGTGCCACCACCACCTGGCTCTGGGTGTCTTCTTTAATCACTCACCACCTTACATTTTGAGGCTCTCACTGAACTTGAACTTCACCATTTTGACCAGGTTGGACGGCCAGTGGTCTCCAAGCATCTACTTGTCTCCACCCCTCCAGTGCTGGGGTTACACATTCATGCCTCGTGTGCCGGCTTTTACATGGATGCCAGGAATCTGAACTCAGGCCCTCATCCTTGTGTGCCAGGCATCTTACTGACTGAGCTACTTCCCTAACCCTTAATACTTGTTTCTTTTCTTTTTTATCTTTAAGTTTTATGTGTACGCCTGTGTGCCTGAGTGTATGTGTGTACCACGTGCATGCAGTGCCAGTGGAGGTCAGAAGAGGCCGTAGAGCCCTTGGACCTGAAGTTAGAGATGTTTGGAAACTGCCATGTGGATTCTGAGAATTGAACCCAGGTCCCCTGGAAGAGTAAAAAAATGCTCTTAACTGCTAGCCACCTCTGTGGCCCGATACTTTTAAATTAAGAAATAATATAACTGATGCATGTGTGCACATGTGTCTGTATGTGTGTGTGTCTGTCTGTCTGTCTGTGCCTGTGTGTGTTATTGAGGGTGGAACCCAGGTCCTGGGATATGCTAATGAGGCACTCTGCCTTAGCTACATCTCAAGCCCCAACTGTTCATTTTAATCCCTCAGTCTGGTCATATTGTGAACACTCTATGAGTCGAACACAAGAGAACCATGAGACTGATGGAGAAGAATCGCTCAGTGCTAAGATTCTAAGGGCAGCACTTGGGGCTGCACTAGCTGTAGTGATCATATATTTTAAGTATTGACTTATTTGGTTTGAGGTTTTTTTTTTTAATTTTTCCAAGACAGGGTCTCACTGTAAAGCCCAGGCTGGCATGGAACTCACCTGCCTCTGCCTTCCAAGTGCTGGGATTAAAGGTATGCGTCACCATGCATGGCATTAGGTAAATGTTTAAATTCTGGCTAATTTTCCTACCTTATCCTTCATCAACAGATGCCTTAAAAAAATCACAGTGAATTGTCAACAGCATGGTCTAGTGCAGGTGTGTCCAGCTTGCAGCTCGTGGGCCACATGCCTCCCACGATAGCTATGAATAGGGCCCAACACATTTGTAGGCGACAGCAGCATACTGCGATGTCAAAGGCACCACTCTTCTAGAGAAACTGTGTGGCTTAAAGAAAGATACTAGGTGGGGCTATCAAAAGACCCGGTCCCAGGCCTGGCTCTGTGTGACCACTGGCAAAATACATCACCTCTCGGGCCTTGATGGACTGCTGGTGGGATATGAGAAGTTCATCTTGAAGGTTTTACCCTTTCTATTTCTAACCTTTGAAAGCCTTCCCTGTCTAACATTGGAGATGCTTATCTGTCCCCAGTGGAGCTGGTTTTAGCCCAGAACCTTCTTTAGGCTGTGCTGTTGACACAGCTTAACCTATTCTTCCTTCCCCAGATCTTCTTTAACAGATTTTTCTGGGTTCTGCCCCCAGGTTATGACTGCCCAGCCACAGAAGGAATATTTGACTATGCGGCTGCTGTGGGAGGAGCTACAATCACTGCTGCCCAGTGCCTGATTGACGGGAAGTGTAAAATAGCGATTAACTGGTCTGGAGGGTGGCATCACGCAAAGAAGTAAGGAAATGCCTTTCTGCCTTCTTACTCTTTCCCTGGTCAATCTCTCAGTTAGATAAACCTGTACACTTGTTATACTGATACTCAAGGGAACCACGAATATGTCTAGCGTTTTATAAGGAGTTCTGAAAAGATGCAAGTAAGATAAATGACCTAATGCAGTGGAAAACACTGAACTGAAAGTCAAGGCATCTGCGCGGTATGCCTAGTTTTCCTGCAAACTTGTCCAGACCTCCCTAGACCCCAGGTTCTTCATCAGGGACAGGGAAAAGGAAGTAGCTAGACAACCTACGCATTCCTTGGAAATTCCCTGTCTCAGGGACCTGGCTCTAGGAACAGGAACAGAATTCGAATAGTTAGAAGATAATATAAATTATGGTACTAAGGGAATATGTGTAGTATATAAGATAGATTGGCAGTCGGGAGAAGTTGATCATGGAGGTGTTGGGAGAGGAGCATGTCAGAGCCATTACTTGACAGAAGTAAGAAATGGGTGTTTGAATAAGTAGCTAATTGATGAGACTAGACATAGAACAAAAGGCTTCAAAAGAATCGAGGAAAGTGACAAGAACGACAAGGTCTTCTTCCGCATCTGCCATCTCATTTGCTCTGTTACTTAATACTTGCGAGGGAAGGGGGATTTTGAACTTATCAGTGTGCCTGCCGTCTGAGTGAAAGAAAGCGGCTGTCTTTCACAAATGGGGTGCAGCCAACCAAGACCTTGGTCTTCAGTAAAAAGGACCCAGCATTTGATTCCTTCAGACTGAAAGGCACTACAATTGTAGCGTGTGCAAATCTGCATAGTAGTATGCAATACTATTCTTTTCCAAATGGACAGATTTCTTGGCCAAAGAAGTCCTTGTAAAACTAAATAACTACAGTCTACTACCTAGACAATAGAAAACTGACGTCTTAGTAATGATTCCACATGGTCTTAAACAAAGAGAATAGCCCGCTTTTGTTAGCTTTTTTTTTTTTTAAGTTCAAAATTAAAACAGGATCTTTTCTTATTAAAGCCAAAGAATAAAAAAGAAGAACAAGATTTTCTACATCCAGGACTTCTCTGTCCTTTGGGCACAGGGAGTAAGGGAGCCCTGTGGCTTCACGAGCGTGCTTGCTCTGGCAAGTGCGCTGTCATTTCCCGTTTCCCTTTGCTGCAGAAGACCTGCTAGGAGTTGGGGCACTTTCATACCTTGCCACTTCTTACCGCTGTGTTTCTGCCAGAGGCTGTACTTGGAGTGGAGTCAGTCTGGCTGCAGGTGTGAAGGTGCTCGCTTCATTAAGTGCTGAAGACAGCTTTCTGCTGATCCTGTCTGGAAACAGACAGACTGTAGTGATCGTAAATTAGTTTCTGGGCATTGACTTAAGTCAAGTCCGAATTCCAAGGTGTTCTTGACACCCCTAGAACAGGCTTATTAGTTTAGAAGCTAGGCGCTACCTATTATTGTTACTAGGAAATTTTGGGGAGCCCAACCTGGAGTGTCACATGTTACTGGGCAAATTGGGGTTTCCTCTTGAGTTTTAGTCCCACTAATTAAAGAATTTAAGAAGAGACTCAGGCCCCTGTGCTCAGGAGACAAAACAGGCAGACCTCTTAGTTCTGGTCTTGCTAGAGTTGCTTAGTGAGACTCTGTCTTTAAAAAAAGACTCAGTAGGAAGCCCGAGGACAATGACAATTTAATTAGTCTTTAAAAGAAAACCCTTAGGGCTGGAAAGCTGTAAATCTTGGTAGCTGCTAGGTAGCAGGAAAAAAAAAAGAAGAGAGAAAAATCATGCCTTTTGTAAACCACCACATGGAAGAAATCAGTGCTTAGGAGTCAGGGGTAGTAATAACTTCAGAGAAAAAGAGTGAGAAAGCCCAGAGTATCAGGAGAAGCATGTCTAGATTATGGCCAGCATCTGGGTGTATATGTGTATGTGTGTATACATATTCTCTCTCTCTTCTCTTCTCTTCTCTTCTCTTCTCTTCTCTTCTCTTCTCTTCTCTTCTCTCTCTCTCTCTCTCTCTCTCTCTCTCTCTCTCTGTGTGTGTGTGTGTGTGTGTGTGTGTGTGTGTGTGTGTGTGTGTGTATGTGTGTGTGTGTAGGGGGAGGGGAGGGGAGAAAAAGGAACAGTTATACTTATCTAAGTAATTCAGAAAAGCAAGCAGGCTTAACCCAGGGAAGGCTCCAGGAGCAACCATACCCAAGTGAGGTGGGAGGGTGGGATTTCTGGGATGGAAAGGAAAAGTACATCTTCTCATTGAGGGTGTGAATTGTTCCTCCCATTTGTTCAGCATGCCTAAGGTGGGCTCTAGGCCTTACTTTAATTACCTCTTTCATTTTAGTAGCTTGGACTGTTAAGTCTCCTGCCAGAGCCAGAACTTCTGGTTTCTTATCTCCACCAGATATCCCAACAGTCTCTGCTCTGAAGATGAAACCCTGACGTCATTTAGGAGATAGGCTGAAATTAAGGACTGGGTAGATCCAATATTTCCATCCTGAAAATCCAGAGCTCCAGTTCCAGAGCTGTCTGCCAGAAGCCCTTTAGAGTTGCGGAGTTCTGCTCACACCCACAGGGAAGCAAGGACACTCACTAAGAGGAGATAAGAAAGCAGAGCTCCCTGCCAGCATCTGGGCATTCCTGGAACTGCTGCTCGAGGGTCCCTGCCCTAAGCTGCCCGTCAGGTTTCCACGTGCTCTTCTCTCCATTGCAGTCACATTGTTTAAACGTCCCAGATACACGCAGCACAGATTCCTAGATCCCATTCCTTAAACCAGCATTGACTAAACTGTATGTGGCAAGCACATGGTTTTTCTCTTTAGTAATGGGAGGTAGGGAAATTGAAGCAAAGTCTACGCCCCCCCCCCCCCCCCCCCGCACCCAACTGAAAAAACAATCTTTGATTTGAAACTGTTCAGGTGCTGACAGGGTTCTTTTGTAACTGGCTTCGTGAAAACTTTACTAGTGTTGAGAGTGGGAAATATGTTCATACAAAATTCTTAGAAGTCTATTCTAAGGAAATAACCCAATCCTGCCATCAAAAAATTGATATCTTGGGGATGATATAAGAAATCACTGCATTTGAAATTTATATAAGGGTTCTTTTAGAAAATCCTGCAAAAAGACTAGTGCTACCGAATATTCAGTGTACAAAGCCAGAATAATGGAAACACTGGCATAAGATAGTGTGCTCCTCGGAGAGACCAAGTCTGACTAAGTTTAATGGGTCGTAAGAGATGCCTTGGGAAAGTCCAGGTTAGCTGCCTGGTTAGGCTGAGCTGCTGCTAAACTCCTCTTTCCTGTTTCTCATTTTCTCTCATTGTCGACCTAGGGCAGCTGACCAAGTCCAGTGAGTCAGTTGGTACACAAATCCAGGCCCTTCGGCCACAGGGTAGAGCACACAGCAACAGTATCTAGGAGGAAGAGAGGGGTTCGAGGCATTTTCGCTATTTGCCATGTGTTTTCTCCCCTCAGTCCCCGTCACATGTCTCCGCCATTTCCCCAGAAACTCCTTATTCAGTAGCTCTGGATGCTATGTCATCGTCCGTCATCTGGGCTTCTCAGTCTCGTTAATAATAAGGCTCCAATGTATATATGAAAATGAATAAAATGATTTTTCTCTGGTTAATTAATTATTATGCTAACTCGTAGCCCGACCACAACACTAGAAGGGATGGGAGAAGGGGCCTTATTCCTTGCCCAACACAGACAGCTGAACAGACTGTCGCTGTTACAGACTACTGCCCTCTTCCTTAAATATCTGCAGTCCCAGCTTTCTGTGTGAAAGACTCATCTACCGACGGTGTCCTGGGAACTTGGTAGCATTCTTTGATTTCAGAACTTGTTTTTCCTCCATACTTTGCTGTGGGTCAAGTGCCACCTGCTGGCAGTCAACTGTTATGGCACTTCCCCCCCCCCCCCCCCTTTTTCTGAGTAGCCCTGGCTGTCCTGGAACTCATTCTGTAGACCAGGCAGACCTCGAAGTTGGAGATCCACCTGCCTCAACACCTCCCAAGTGCTGGGCTTAAAGGCACGCGCCGCCACTGCCCAGCTGCATATATTTTTGATTGATTGATTGATTGATTGATTGATTGCCTCAAGCTCTCTTTGTAGGCAAGAATGACCTTGAACTACTGATCCTCAGGCCTCTACCTCAAGTGCTGGTGTTACAGCAGGTCTGGTTTGTGCAGTACGGAGGGTTGAACCCAGGGCTTCCTTCATGCTATGCAAGCACTCTACCTACTGAACTCTGAAAGTTTCCTTGCTGGGAACTGAACCTAGCACCTCAAGCATGTCAGGCAAGTGCTCTGCCACCGAGATACATCCCTGACCTGCTATTTCATCTTTATATGTCTGAAGTCTGTATGTCCATTTAAGGTGCTCAGTCTTGTCTAAACAGTTTAGTATTTTATCTGTGCCTTTGATGATGTGCTTTACTTTGTTTTCAAAGAGGCATTTCTACTGGAATCTCTATACTAGTTAATAAATCTGTACTGATATTTCCCTCACCTAATGACCACTGTCAAATTATAGTCTGTAAAGTATGCCTCCATACATTTTTTCAAAGGTCATTTCAAAGGTCACTTGTTCTGTCTCCTCGCAATCTAATGTGTACATAGTTTCTCCAGGATCTGGAGGACAGGGGAGCTTTAAGAACTTTGAGATTGTGTTCTGTCTTGAATAAAGCCTGAACAGGGTAGGAATGTATAGCTAAGAAGCAGTATGGAGATCACAGGTGGGAACCTAATGTTGCAAAGGGGTCTAAAGAGGTAGGTCTGCGGATAAAGAGCTTGCTGTGCAAGCATGAGAACCGGAGTTCTGATCCACAGATCTCAGTCAAAAGCTGGGCAATTATGATGGCTTCCAATAATCCCCACACTAAAGAGGCCGGCCAAGACACGGGACTGCATTCCCAGGGCAAGTTGGCTAGCTTAGACTAGCCAGAATCGATGAGCTCTGGGTTTAAGAAACCTTGCCTCAAAAAATGAAGATAGAGAGTGATCAAAGCAGTGCAGGAT